GGCTGACATATAGAGACAAACAAACACTCACATTCACACCTTATATTGGTGATTTAGAGTCACCAGTTCACCGGCATGTTTTTGGACTGTGGGAGGAAGCCAAAGGAAACCCAGTGGCGCCTCACAGCAAGAGGGTTGTGGGTGGTTTATATATCTTCAAAATTGCCCTTTCAAGCCTACAACTTCAACAATCTGGCATGAATACAGGCTTGTTTACTTCCAATTAAGTGAGATGACTCATCAAAAAACAACCCACAACACTCACAATATATGCACATTTAATATGTCATTGTCGGGTGCAAGGAGTCACTCAAAAGCCACACAGAGAGATGGCAAGTCAAGCAGACGTTTTGAGGTTAGCATCAGTTTACAACTTAGATCCGATGTATCATAGCTCATGTAGCTTCCGTGCAGAAAAAAGCCCTTTATTTCCTTTGAATTATTCATGTACTGCTATGTAGCTAACACTTTGAAAACTCACTCCAACCTAATGGGAATACTCATACAGTATGTACAGTCGCTGTCTAACAGACAGAGACAAGAGACAGAGAGAAAGATTTAGAAAGCCTCTTTTACATGAAAACTAGCATGCAGGATTTATATATATTTATAATACATTTATGACTCCATATTAATTCAATAAATTAGATACACAGCACAGTTTTCAGGATGTTTGATGTGTGTGTGGGTGTGTGTGTGTGTGTGGGTGTGTGTGTGTGTGTGTGCATCAGCGTGTTCAAAGGATTTGGAGCAGCAGGCAGCAGTTTTTATTTCTGGTGTGCAGTCTCAGAGGAAAATCCAAACCTCGCTTTGTTTTTTTTTAACGGTCCACATCCATTACAGCTGCTCACTCAGGGTCAGCCACATGAGAGAGCACTGATATCCATTCCAGCAGCATTTGAAAGTGTTTGCATTCGTGTCTGCATCTGCACGAGCCAGATATTGTGTCTTTACAGTAGCTACTCTGCGTGTGTTCACTGCCACGTAAAGATCTGAGTGGATAGCAGTGATTTTGAGGGTATCAACATTTTCAAGTCAACACAGTCTCTATCCTGTGACATGCTCCGCTCGGCTTATGCTATTTTTGGCTGATGTGCTATTCTGAGTGATACCTCCCCACAAGATAATGGTGCTGTATAATTGTGCGGCACGTATAACGATGGGCTGGGGTTGGGGTGCTGTTCGTCACCATGGTGATTAATTCTGTCACTGGAAATTAGAAGAGATGTGTGGAAAAGAGAGATAACAAGATGATGATTACGTACTCTTGTGCAGACACACACACGGTAGACAAAGGTGTTTGAATAATGAGCAAACATACAAAAGATAAGGACACACATCACATTAATGGTCCAGCACTGGTATGCACACTTAATTACAGACGGCATGTATGTGTGTGTGTGTGTGTGTGTGTGTGTGTGTGCCAATACACATATATTGTGCGTAACTTAAGCTTCAGCAAAGATAAATTGAATCATCCATCACAACTCTATTAATCCTATTAAATCATATAAATTTGATATCATGTTTTCTAATAGATTAGATTGCAAGCAGGGATACAGAATGTTTGCACAAATACTAAGTCAAAAACCTCTAAATATCTACGTATGTCTGAATTTTAACCATTGATTCAATCATTTGTTGGTTTGCTCGTTATACCCTTTGTGCCCTCCATTTGCCCTCCCAGGGATTGTCCCACAATGTGAGCATTAAGTAACTGGCCCAGTACGACCGCCCACTAATGGCTTTCCTGCCAAGACTGTTGAGATTTACAGACTCCGCTGGGCTTATGGGAGCTGCTCAAAACAAAACAACCCTGACAGCCGTTAACAGTTTTGAGAATGCTGCAGCGGCTTTCACGTGTGTGTACGGGTCCCTTTACTACATCTCTGCTGAATCTGAGGGAAGAGGTAGTGGCAGAGACAAAGAACAAGAGAGACAATCAATGGTTAATGGCTTTCCCACAGGGCCATCACTTACTGCAACTCACGGTATAAAAGTGGAGATCCACAGGGGAGCAGCTATTTGGAAACCTCAGACTTCATTTACTAACAAAGCAGTGGAAGCAGCTCTGCCTCGCTTAAGTGAAACAAAAATCATAATGATGAGCATCTGACAAGAGCAGTCTAAAATAATGTTCCCATAATTGCAGAAGCCTTCCATTCAGCATTGTCTGTTGTGGCCTTTGCTGTGAACTCAATGACAGTCTGCCAAGCATGCGGAAAGACAATTATTAGTTTTTATCAATATCAATGAATGTATCATTATATTTTAGGTAAATTCAAGAGGCCGGAGTAGTTAATGAGAAGGCCAACTATCATTTAGGACTAGATCATTTTTATTTTCATTATCGATTAATCTGTTGATTATTTCACAATTAATCGTTTGATCTAAGTACGCTGCCTTGGTTTGGATGATCTCGCTCAAAAGTGGTTTCATGCATTATTGTCAGATGTAACCAGATATTACTCAATCCCACGTTCTCTGTGCCACATGGTTCTGTGCTTGGTCCATTGTAATTTACTTTCTACATAAACAATATTATTACTCCACTGATTAAAAATGTCACTTTTTTGTAGATGACTCAATGTGGCTCTTCTCCAACTCAAAATGTGTCTAGATTACGATCTGCTTTAAACATTACGTGAAATTGTTCAGCCTCATAAAGAGATTGCATTTTTTTTTAATTTTTAAACCGCAAGAACTGGCACAGAATCTAAAGATACATTTCTTATATCAGAATAAATGCTTTTCTCTTGAGGTGGGAAAACCATTTAGCAATTTTGTGAAAAATAGTGAATGGTTCAGTACCCAAAGATGTTAAATGTACTATCACATTAGACAGCACAGACAGCAAATCCTCACGACTGGAAAACTGGAACTAGGCAATGAATTGTAAATAAAATGACAAATAACCAATCAAGTAATAAAATGTATGCATTAAAGCTTTTTGCTGATGTCAACATTTAATAGACTACACTTTATTTTTATGGCACTGAAAAGCAATCTGTGTCTTTGTAAACCTCAAACTTTAAGCCACTGCATGGTTCTGTATCAAAAGTCCATTAAGGCTCAATTAAAAATTCATAAATATAAACAAACATATGGGGACATGAATACAGTGCATAAGACCCCATGTTACCAATATGAGTGAACATCCCATCAATAATACATTGAGGTGAATTTCAAAGCTTTTGAGCTGAAAACATGAATATTATTTAGGGTTGATATAAAGAAATAAATTGTCATCTCAACCTGACAAAGATCGATTGGTTTAGAGGCGTGTCCAATCAGAGCTGTGTGCAGAATACTTAACTTTTCAAGATGAGACAGATCAGAATCATTGATCATCAATGTCAGTGTAGGGAGGAGTCAAGACACACATGAACACCCATAAATGTACCTGCACACACACGCGCGCGCACACACACACACACGCGCGCACACACACACACAAACACACACACATTCGGTAGAGGTTTTCCAGGGACTTGCACCATGAGGACAATACTGATAAAGCATTGAAATTCAGGTCCAGTAAGCAATTCATCTATTCCGCCCCCCATCCCCTGATCAATTCATTCATTCCCTCTGCCACTCACTCTTTACTCCATTGGTCCACATGTTCATTCAACCAAGTCTTCAGTAATGTGATTTCTTCAGGCTCCACACAGACCACACTTTTCCTCCTCACTTTTCCTCCATCTCTCCATCCCTTTGTCAATCCCTCTAATAACAAGGAGCTAAAACTGTTTCCTGGACTTCGTATATTTACCATGTGGGTTAACCACCTTTTAAATGTGATACATGCACAAATCTTCATGGTTTTGTCCATGTTGGTCACTGTTGAATTACATCAACTACTCACTTGACAGTTTAAATGACTACACATACCTGATCACTATACCAAACCCCTCTGTTTGCCTCACCATCTACGGTTGCTACATTTCTCCATCAATCCTGTGCACACACACACACACTGGAGAAGCACGAGCCATCATCTCATTTGCTAATTGTTTATACCAACAGGCGTGAGCTGTCTGTCACACCACACTCCCTGTAAGTGCTTGGGGATGTCCATGCATATGTGATTGCATATGTGTGTGTGTATGTGTGTATGTGTAATACTGATGGAGCAGGGTGTGGTGCTGGTATGCTTGTTTTTCATTGACACATCTGTCGGACGAGTGGTGTTTCAAGCTGTCTTCTCTCCTTGTGGTATTAAAAAGAAAATCCCCAGGCAATATTGGCCTGCATGGAGACGTAAAAACAACATACATGAACAACAGACAGACGCTACAGGCTACTGCCTTGAGACGACTGATTCAGTAAGTAGGCTACGTGATTTTTTTTTTTTTTACACCAATCAAAATAAGGTTGTATTAAGCTGTATTAAGTCCAGCCAGTCAGTTTCAAAGTGTTAGCAGTTTCTAATCCAGTTTTTTGTATATATTTTGGGTTGGCAGTGGTTGGACACTAATTCATCTTAATTTTGGCAAAAGATTCCAGTGAAGTCTTATGTAGCTGTGTTTTATCATGAGAAACAGTAATCCTTTCTCAGTGTAGGGGCCAGATATGACCTTCCACCTTTGACCCATGACCCATGAGATGAAGCCTAAAAGCTGGAGCTTTATAATGCCTAAACTTCATAGAGAAAGCTTTGCACTGTAATTACAATATGATGAGAAAATATTCTACAGACTAAAATATGCTATAAACACTCACTGATTATGACAGTGGATATATCAATAAGGGAAGGGTCCTACTGTTGCTGTTTATTTCGGGGGGCCCAGATGTTTCGTGCTACACCACTGGCACGGGAGACTGTTGCCCATTTTATCTCCATATTTGTGACTCTTCCTCGGTGTGCGTCTCAGGTCAGCTGAGGTTCATCCGACCGAGATAAGACATGTGCGCGGAGCGTCACCCCGCGGTAGCCACGATGAATAGCAACAGACTGAAAAAGCGAAGGCGCAACGTTTGACCCTTACGACCTTCTGTTGAATCGTGCTATCATGTCGGCTCACTTGATGGTAAGTTACCCTTCAAATTTCGAGTAATTACTACACTTATTACGCTGATGAAGAATTGTATGAAAAATGTACTTTATACCTTAAATGGCAGAGTGTTGGCTGTTACTCAGATGACTGATAGCATATGCTGTTGTCAGTATTTTGTTAGCGGACTGACACAACATGCTAAATGTAGCTGAAGTTAGCTAAAATATAACTAAAACGCTTTATTAGTCGTCCTAGTTAAGCGACCTTTGGGGTTTTTGAATTAGTTTGAGTGTGGCATAAATATATAATTACCTACAAATACCGGTTAGCTTTTCTTTCACGCCCTTCAACAACTTCATGACATTAAAGGCAACGACTTTATGAATATTTTCATAGACATGTCGCACCTTTTGCGTCTCGTATTCTCTGTTTTTAAATTTGAAGTACAGCTGTCACCGTTTCATGTCCGTGTCTGTGTTTGTCTGCTCAGTCTCTACACAGATGTTGCCAGCGGTCAGCTCTCCTCCTTGTTGCTAGGCGACCATGGAGCTCCAGCTCGGTGTCTTCTCCACCTCCCCTGCACACGAGACTACTCCTCTACCTCACCCAGCGGTTTTATGATGTGGAGATGCTCCTGAGATGGAGGTCTCAGCTGAAGAGGAGGGGGATTCAGAAGAAGAATGTGTAAGACACATTATGGCTGTCTTGAACCCCCCGAGATCCATACCAGTGCTGCTGCTGCTGCTGCTGCTAGTAACTGAAACGGGGTCAATGAAATGAATAGCTGCAGTTCACAGGTGTTCATCTGAGTCTGGTTCAAAGCTATTGTAAATGCACACCGTTCAGTCTCCCAAAACCAAAAGCCTACAACTGAGTGCACCAAAAAAAAATCTATCTTTAGTTTAAGATCTGAATGTGCCTGTTGCAAGTAAAATTACAAAATGGATTAGAATTGGTTATTTTCATAAGCATAAAATTCTTTAGGCTTAGAAATAATGAAATAATGGTCACGACAAGGTGCTTTAAGCCCAGTCCAGATGCTGTTTGTCAAGCTACTACATCTATTTGACCATCACTGACTTTTCCCCACTGTCTTTCACAGTTACTACAGCTACACTCAGAGGTTTCATGGGGCATACATCGCAGCAGCATATTATATCTTGAGTATAAAGGGGGGATTTAGGTAAGTACCTTGTTCCCTTGCCTCTACATTGTTTGAATATATGGATATGCTGTAGATTTATATTTTTTCTTTATAAGATTTAATAGTATTCACATGTATAGTATAGTATTAAAATTGTTATATCATGATAAGACAGCCACTGCTGTCTGAACCTGTTGTTTATGGGCTTAAAATAGTGATTTTCTGCATGAATTAAGGGTTAGGACATGTAAGTTGACTGTGATTGTGCAGTTTAGTCAGATAGGGCTGCAAGTGATGATTATTTTATTATTGATTTCAAAGGTTCCGGGAATCCAGATTGGCAGCTTCAAATGTCTTGATTTTGTTTGAACAACAGTTAAGGAGCTTGTGCTTAAAAGATTACTTAAACAATACATTTATTGCTAAAATAGCTAATTGATTTCCTGTTGAAAGAGTAATTAATTAATGAATAGTTTTTACAATCATGCTATGTTGAAAGCAGCTGGTGTTATATGATCAAACTCACACAGGACTTGACACAATGAAATATCTCATGTGGAAACCAACCAAACTAGGATTTAGAGCAGCAGCTGAGCTCAGAGAGTCTGTGTAGCTGTGTAGTGCAATGGTTCCTGCATAATACATTACTTTCTTCTTTTTAACTTTTGAAATGTCAAGCCCCGACAGACTGAATGAGAGTATACAATCAGCTGGTTGTCCGATGCTTCATGTTTGCAGTTGATGTCGCACCCGTTACTTCTTTTCTGGCAGTTATTAACATAACATGAATTATTTATATACAGTTTATTTAGTGTTATAGTCATGTCCTAAATGTGCTACTGTGATCCAGTTTTTATGTGACGTCTGTTCTGTGCACTCAGGTATGTTGATCAGACAGACTGGTTTCGTCCTAACCAGAGGGGAAAGTTCAGTTGGGACTTCATGAATCACAAAGACACACACCTAGAGGAAGTAGACATGAGCTACACTGTCATCAACTACTCAGGACTGCAGAACCTGGGTAATGAGATCCAGCTTTTTCAGTTTCTTTTTTTCCACCCTCTCTAAATCACATTTCCTTTGCTATAACCTCATTTTCTGTTTTGTTTTGTTTTTGTCAAGCACATGAACTGTTAATTCATTTTTAATCTGATTTGTCTTCCTTCAGAGGGACAGCGATCTTTGAGGACTCTGTCATTACGAGGGTGTTCTGAAGTGGACGATTGGTTCCTGGCCAGGCTCCATATGTTCCAGGACTCTCTGGAAGAACTGGACATCTCTCACTGTCCACGCATCACTACAGGCGGCCTGGCTGCACTGAGGAATCTCAAGTAATTATCCAAATACTCACAATGAAGCCTAGATATGTAACACCTCCGTTGTGTTAAATACCTCCTTCTTGTGTATTATGCGTGTTCTGCAGGGGACTGCGGCGTCTGGACATATCATCCCTCCCCGGGATTTCGACTCCTGGTTTGGTCATCATCCTGCTGGAGGAAATGTTACCACTGTGCCAAATCACTGCTAATGGCTATGACCACAACCTGAGGCCGGAGGAAGGAGAGGAGAAGAAACACACACAAGCGCAGAGGTAGTGCGCGGACAGGGAAATGAATCAGAGGAATCAAGTCCTCTGACACAGCTCTGCTTTGACAGAAAGGGTGGCAACAGGGCAAAGGGAGGTGCAGAGTAAACACCTGACATGAGAAGAGAAGTCACATGCAGCAATTCCAAGACAGTTTAGGTTGATCACAGAGAAAGGTTTGAATTGTACTACTGACATCTGCACAAGTCTTGACAACAACCAAAAGGATAAACCTATTATAGGCTCAAATTCCATTGGACAATGACAACATACAATTATAATGATATGAAAGTATGAAAAAGAAAAATGCAGCGAGTGTGGAACAAGAATGAACTACCTCAAGTTTGTTGGATTACTTGGCATTCAAGGCATATGTTATCACAGTCTGCTTGTCAAAGTGTGTTATTGTCTCCCAGAATCAATTTGTTGTCAAGAGTGTGCACATTAATGATACTAATCTAAATTTATATCATGTCTCTGTCTCAAACAAATTGCACTTTGTCTGCATATGTGGCAACGGTTTTATTTGTTGTTAAAATGTAAATATGATTGTAAATGTTCTAAATAAAGATTGAATTGTTCAATATTATGATTATTGTAACCTTTGCCTGTGAATTCATAATGCATCTTAAACAGACAATGAAAACCACGTGGCCACACATCACACAGTGGCTCTATTTCTAATCTTAACTGTGCAAGCTTGTGTGAGGAAACTAAAGCCCATAATCCAGTGTGAGCCTTGTATCTGCAGCAGTGTCTGACCCCACTGTGGACTGATGAAGACACCAGTTGGACTGAGAGAAGATGGCGAATGGGGGATGAAGAAATCACTGGTAGTTTTGTACGTGTAGATATAGTACATCTTCACCGATTTGGTAGCTAAGTTTGAAGTGAATAGATCCCCATATGTGAGTAACGTACTTCTCATCCCAAGTTGGGTGGCATTTGCTGCTTTAAAGTTGGAGGCAAATATCTCTTAATTTCTCAACATGTTACCTTTATATGTATTAACCGTTTTATTTAATATATAGAAATTAAGTTGACATTTAACAGAACATCAAGTAATTGGATCTGCGGTAGGAACGATAAATGCCGTGGGAACTGGGTCACATGAAGCACGGACCGTATTTTTGACGGACCACAACAAGACGGGCAAGCTGAGTGCTAGCAGTGCAGTGAATACTTGTCGCCACTTTGTTAAATATTGGATATAAATTGATTGTCATTCGGATCCTTTTGGTTAAAAGGTCCCAGTAGACGGATAAATGTCTGATGCATCAGGTAGGATGGTTGTCTGATGTGGAAAATGACTTTTAATTTCGTTGTTCCACTGCGCTAGTTTAGCTAGCTTTGTAGCTAACATGGCCATTTACATTGAGAAATACTTGCTGAAGCACTTGATTGACGCGGCATTTAACTTTGTCTTTGTAGAACTACCTGAAAGAAAAGAAGAGGAGGAGGTTTCACCCGAACCAGAGGTAAAAAAAAAACAAACATTTTATCTGCAGCCGCGAGATTGTAGCTAGTGAAAGCTAGCAGGTCTCAGCTGGTTGTTAGCTTCTTAAAATCAAAACAAAGCCGTGGTCCGTCACGTTAGTAACACAGATCAACAGGGTTTACTGTGGTTTCACTGCTGCTGAATTTATAATGTGAATATTTCTTTTTATCGTTTGTAGGAACAATCCGACGACAGCAGTGAGGAAGAAGCAGCAGGAGACACAGAGAGTATGTGAACTCAAACAGGGCATTTCTGTAACATACGGTGTGAATATATGAACGTGAAATAATACTGTTTTACAGCTTTGTATTCTTTGATGAAATCCTGCAGAATAACGTTTGATTTCTTGTTAGCCAAACGTCAATGCATGATTGCAACGATTTCCAACTTTTTAAGCCACCTTTAATTGAGGCACGTATATAATACACCAGTCAGCACTAGTACATGCCAGTTCTGTTTGCTTTGCTCTATAGATACAGTGGCCTAGTGAGTCATGTGAACAAAAATCTGTCACTGTATTTGAACACATGCTGCCTGCCGTGATATGTGGAAGCCAAAGTGCCACAATCCTCATGATTCTGACTTTGAGTTTGATATGGTTTTCTATCCACATACATTTATTAATCACCCATTCCTTTGATTTTCCCCCCTCATCTGGTTCTCCTCTGTGTTCCTGTCAGTGGACTTCCTGCGTAACCTCTTCTCCAGCACTCTGGGCCTCGGCTCAGCAGACAAAGTTCTGGATGACCTGACTCTGGACGGAGTGGCGCGATACATAAACAGCGGCAAATGTCAGTCTTTATTTTTTCGATTCAGCCCATCCATTAGGGCTGTCCATAGTGGATTGATTTACAGCGTACAAGTTTAGAGTTATTATTGATTTATGTTGAAATTTGCTTTGCATCCATGCAGGTAAAAACATCATCTGCATGGTTGGAGCAGGAATATCCACATGTGAGTATCTCATATCTAATATCACAGAATAAACATTTAACAGTATCATTAAATGTTTTATAATCATTGATAACACACAAACTCTCGGTTCATGGGGAGCCCGTCATTGACGAAATGCATTCCCTAGCCCATTACCCCAACCTTAACATCACAACTGAATACCTCACTCTTAACCTTCGAACAGCCATTTTGGCTTAGTGGGTTCCCTGTTTTCAGACCCTGCTAATACAGTAGAGGCCCACACACATAAGTGTATACTTATCTGTAACACCATCTCTCTCTCCGCAGCGGCTGGAATCCCTGATTTCCGTTCACCAGGAACAGGCCTGTATGCAAACCTGCAGAAATACAACCTGCCTTACCCAGAGGCCATCTTCCAGATTGATTATTTTAAGGTGTGTTAAATGCTTTGCACACCTTTGAAGCATGCTGCACTATATAACAGTTGTCTTGGGGCCCCCAAAAGTCCTTGCCAGTTTTTGAAATCTGAATTATTAAAAAAAAAAAAAATTCCAATCTCCACTGTCAGTACAATAAAATTTAATATTTCTCGCCATCTTGTGTCTCAGAAACATCCAGAGCCATTCTTCGCCTTGGCCAAGGAGCTTTACCCAGGACAGTTCAAGGTACAATTCACTTCCTGCTGCGAGTCAACTGCTGATTAATTGTTTTGTTATTTAGAAAACTATGAACTGCCTCACACATTTTTCTCCTCTCCTTTTATTGGTGTGTAGCCGACAATCTGTCACTACTTTATGAAGATGCTGAAGGACAAGGGGATCCTGAAACGCTGCTACACACAGGTAGGAAAAACACCCAGCTTTACATAAAAAAAAAAAAGTCACTTTTTCAGTGTTGACATTTACATGTGCGTTCGTTCAGAATATTGACACCCTGGAACGAGTGGCCGGGCTCGAAGGAGAAGATCTAATCGAAGCTCATGGAACATTTTACACATCCCACTGTGTCAGCTTCTGTTGCCGCAAGGAGTACAACCTGGACTGGATGAAAGGTGTCTTTTGGTTTTGTTTGCTTCTACATCAAAGAACAAGATCAAAAGATTTTTTTATGCCATTTGGGATTTTGAACTCCTTTTTCTACCTTGTAGAAAAAATCTTCTCTGATGACATTCCCAGATGTGACAAGTGCAGCAGTTTGGTCAAGCCAGGTCAGTTGATCTTTGTCTCTCTTTGTTTTTTATTTTTGAATTGTTGATTTTAGTTCTGTAAGCGTTTTCTTATTTGTCCTGTATCATTTTAATCCCTCTTCCTAAAAGACCTGCCAACCTTTCTGGACACCATTTTTATGTCTTTTTACCGTGCAAACATGATGGTGAGATAACTGTGTCTTTGTCTATCTCAGTATCTCTTTGTACCTCTGAGTTCTTTACTTCTCTTCCCCCAGATATAGTCTTCTTTGGCGAGAATCTGCCTGTGCGGTTCTTCACTTCAATGAAGATGGTGAGCACATGGTAGTGGTTTGAAAGTGTGCATGCATGTTTGATGTAACGTGTCTGCAGACATAAACTCTTCTCACCATCTTTATTTACCCGTTAGGACTTTCCTCGCTGTGATCTTCTTATCGTCATGGGGACGTCTCTGCAGGTCCAACCTTTTGCAAGTCTTGTCAGCAGGTACTGCAGATCAAGTTTCCTGTTACTGGACTATAGTACTGAATGCAGTCACAGCTGCAGTAAATTTGGCAGTACACTGTAGAAAAGTACACACTGTCCAGCAGCCAGCGAGACGGCCCTGCAGCATTAAAGATTCAGACTTGAGTCTTGGCTTGTTGACCCGTCTCTGAGGACAATGCAGAGGCCCCACACCCATATTTTGAAACTTACTGTAGATTGATCTGTTGGCCAAAATATTGTTTAAGTAATTGTTTGTTTGTTGTTTCTGTGGTTTCCCCTGTTTTTTTGTTATTCAGGGTTTCAAAAAGTTGCCCCAGACTGCTCATTAACATGGAGAGGGCAGGGCAGGTGAGCTACCACCACTACATCAACTCTTTTCTGCTTTTATCCCCCCACTTTTTTCTGTCATAAGTGTGTTTCTTGGATTCTCTGTGCAGCATTGTTGGTGTGTTTCTCTGTGCAGGCCGATCCTCTGTTGGGGTTGCTTGGTTTTGGAGGAGGGATGGACTTTGACTCAGACAAAGCATACAGGTGATACAGAGATGTTGCTGCGTCTCCCCAGCTGCTTCACTATATTAGCTTTATCCTCCCATTGCAGCCGATATCTTATGTAAAAAAAAAAACAGATCTTATCTGAATGAGTCAGTCCAACTTACACAATAGGATGATGAGAAGTTTTTAGAATTAATAAACTGGGACAAAACTATTAATGATTTATATTTTTTATATAAAATGTGCATTTGTTCTATATATCAGTTTAAATTGTCACCATGCAGTTTATTTTTGCACCACCAGATGGCGCCAACGCATCACCCACAATAATTATTTAGTGAGAGACTTATTGCTATATGACATTTTTATTTCTTTCCACTTTACTTAATGTAGCTACTCAGTCATTTAATCACTCAGTAATTAGCCAGTTACTCAGTAGTCATCATGACTACTCAAAATTTGTTGCTGACCATGGTGCCAATGACAAACTGTCCAGTCATGTCTGACAAGTAAAACATTAGGAGGGTGAAACTGTTGTATTTAGAAGCGGCAGTAGTTCTAGTAATAGTAACTAGTAGCACTAGTATCTGTGAGTTTTACAAGTGACCGCTTTGACGTTCAAATAAAATGTAACAGCACACTAGAAAATGGAAATTAAAACTATAGAAAGTTGTGCTACAGTCCAACATTGTCATGGCTCATACACATGGCAGCAGTGATGAATAATATTTAAAAAAAAAAATTAATAATAATCATGTTTTTAAATGGCTGCCTATAGCAAAGTGAAATTAAAAATGGGATTTGTATCTGTATTGGTTGCATCTGTACTGGGATATGAAGGCATGGTGTGGAGCCCTGTCCAGGCTCTAATGGCCTTTCTTCTTCCTTGCAGAGATGTAGCTCAAATCAGTACATGTGATGACGGCTGTTTGGCTCTCGCCGACCTGCTGGGATGGAAGGTAAGTTACACAATCGTCTGTAGACAGTAGAAGTGCATATAATGTTGTACTTCTTGTCTAAGCACAGTCTGTTTATCACAGGACAATCACACATGATTCTAGGGTAAAAATAGCCTTGGACCATAGTGCAATTAGTACTGTAATCCAGTCTGGAGATAATTAAGCCAATGTATTATCACCATTTCCCTCACAGGGGTTATTAAAGTTTAACACAGTCTCATCAGCTAGAGCAGAAGCAAAAAAAAGTGTGTGCTTTCGAAATGTCAGGGTAGCCTATTCATGATTTTCCTGTGTGGTGTTGTGGTTTCAAGCCCACACTGTGTAAGGACTTCACAATTTACACAAAGCAAAAGCTGCTTTTGTCTCTCATTTTCTTCTGCATCACCAGGATGTCACCAGTCCATCCTCTGTGTCTCTATGTATTACTCGTGATAAATAACTTCTTTTTTTTTTTTTTTGTCACTTCTCTCCAGGCGGAGCTGGAGGAATTGGTGAAGCAGGAGCACACCAGGATTGACGGTCAAGACAAAAAAGAGAGGTCCTGTGAGAAGAAGGAAGCCGCAGCCAAGGCGAGCTCTGCATCAGTGGCACCAGAACCTAAAGAGGAAGAATAAATAATTAAAATGCCCCCTTTTTTATAAAAGCTACTGTAGTGATGTCACAGTTTGGAGTTAGCCCTTAAAGGTAAAATACCACAGTTTCTGTTTGAAAGTGAGCTTTAACAGGGTCTGTCACACTCTGTTTTAATCTGCGGACATTTGATTCCTCTGAACAACCTCACATGACATCTGACATCCCTGTAGTTTACGCTTTTGTTCATAACAGTAATTTGCACTTTACTTACATTAATATACTTTCCTTTTTCTTTTCATTTTTTTTTGGCATTAGCGAAAATCTGTCTCACATGTATATTTCTTTCTGAGGCAGTTGACTCTATGCATTTTACTGCGATAGACAGTGGCATTGTTGCAATATATCTACATTTGGTTAGTAGGTGGTTAATATCTCCAAAACCTCAGGCAGTGTGATAATGACTTTACACTGCACAAAAGCTGAAATAATGTCTCCAAACCAACTACTGACCACTTCTGATGTAGTGATTTGAGCCGAGCCTTTGATTTTTAGTTCATGCTTCCTCAAAAGACAACCAGGCTATTGTGTATTTAATCTGTCATCTTTTTCCCACAAGCCAAAAGTGACTTTAGATACATTACATTCAGAAAGTTTTCAGACCCCTTCACTTTTTCCATTTTGTTATGCTGCAGCTAAAATCATTTACATTTATTTTTCCCCCATCGATCTACATTAACATTTTTTGCCAACTTATTAAAAAGGACGTGGACATACATTAAGTATTCAGACCATTTCCTCAGTACTTAGTTGAAACACCTTTGGCAGTGATTACAGCCTCAAGTCTTCTTTGGTACAATGTGACAAGCTTTACACACCTGTATTTGGGGATTCTCTGCAATTCTTCTCTGCGGATCCTCTCAAGCTCTGTCAGGTTGGATGGGGATCATCAGTGGACTGCAATATTGTTCCTCACAGAGAGCCCTTTTAGTGCTTTTTTTTTTTTTGCAAACTTGAAAACAACTTTCGTGTGTCTTTCACTGAGGAGAGGCTTCCCTCTGCCATAAAGCCCAGATCAGTGGAGTGCTGCAGTGATGGTTGTCCTACTGGAAGCTTCTCCCATCGCTACACAGGATCTCTGGAGCTCAGCCAGAGTGACCATCAGCAGGATTTTTTGTAGCCTCCCCCAGATCTGGACCTTTACACAATCCTGCCTTTGAGCTCTGCAGGCAGTTCCTTCCACCTCATGGCTTGGCTTATGCTTTGTCATTATGGTGTATTGAGTGTATGATTTTCAAGTCTGCAGCATGACAAAATGTGAAAAAAGGGAAGGGGTCTGAACACTTTCTGAAGGCATTGTAAGTATCTTATGTCAAAAAAAGAACTTCCTGAAAAATGAACTGAGGTAACTATAAATATAACAACAGGTTAACTGGTTATGTGGAACTTTAAAAATGTTTTTAACTAACAGTGTTTTTCATCTTAACCCTCTGCTCCTGTTTGAACCAATATCTGTGATTTCTTTTAACGTTTATGGAACAAAAGATGTTCTCTTAATATTATGGAACTGCAAACTGTACATGATGCACAAAATATAATCATAACTCTTGTCAGGACCTCAGATGGTCCTTAGTTGATAGTTAGATAGATGGATAGCTAAAGAAAATTAAACAGACATGGAGCTCTAAAATAGTTTGAAACTCTATCTTTTTATTTTATTTTTTTATTAAATTACAAACTAAACTATTTGGGATAGCTGTAAGAGCATGAATTGTTGCATTATGAAATAAAAATAAAGGGATGGACACAATAACATAAACATCTGTACAATATTATGGAAGCCAATACAAAAACCCCACAATAAAATTAACTTTGTAAAGCTGATAATGTTCACTTTTGTTGAGACTGTATGAAAGAGGAGTTGATTCAACTATCAGGTCATTTTTTTAAGACTTTGATTAATTTAATTAGGCTTTACAGAAAGTCATAGGACACTGGTTATAATAATCTATGCTGACATTGCGCAACCACAAACAGCCATATATTGTTGTACACATCTACTTTACTTAATTTATGCAATTAGAAAAAAAAGAAAATAAACTCAGCTAGACATAAATAAGCTAAACTAAATAAGCATCTATAAAAGTTGATGTCTGGAAAAAAACAACAACATGCAAACAGCGTCACAACTGTCGACACATTTTGATTCACATGTTGCTTTATTCTGGCTAATTGCATTTTTCCAACTAATCCCACTGAACCAGGAAATAAAAAAACAACACATACAGCAGGACCACATTAGTAAGAGGCTCATTAAGAAAATGTAGGTTTTTGGGGCCTTTAAAGATTTATGTAGCATTTACGGGGTTGCGGTCTTCGATATATCACCACCATCTGAAGTACTGACATCATAATTAATTTCACATTTGCAGTACGTTCACAATAGAAAGGAAAGGAAGGAAGGATGAGTGATTTTGCCAAAATATGGTGGGGATGTGAAATTCCACCAGATGGTTGGCTGCAGTGGCATCGGTCATGCTCAGAGTCGGATTGGTCATTTTAAAGGTGCTATAGATGTACGTATTTGCTATTGCTAAGTAGCCAACATTAGCATTAACAACTGTTTACGTAATAGTCTAGAAGAAACATTGCGAGTTCAAACTTTATTCTCTACTTGCCAAGAGCTGTCTCCAGCAGTGGAAAGCAATGCTGATGTTGACGCTTCTATTTCTGTCACTTTCTCTATTGAAGTTAGCATGCTAACCAACTAGCCCAGTCAGCCCGAGTCAGTGTAGCATCCTGTTTGCCGTGAAGTAGTGTCGCTCAGAAGGCATATTGTAACTTTTTGTATTGTGCACACACTTGCTTCTTGAAAGACACCACGTTTAGTGGCAGAGTAAACATACATCTAGCTCCTTTAATGCCACTATTATTGTGTATCTTCCTTTTAACCAGGCTTAGTATACTTTATAATGTGCAAACATAAAATATAGTTATGTTAGAAGTGACCTTTTCACAATGTGGTTAGCGCAGAGGCCAGTCATGTTTTTACATGTTTTCCTGACTTTTCATTATCTTTAATGTTCGTATAATCTTTTACATAAACAATATTTATCTCAATCCAGTTTTGTCTTAATGAGATTGTTGCATCAGATGTAGTTAACTAGAGTATAAACAAGACTAAGAGTCTACAGCCATGCTAGCAGCTCTGTAGCCTACTTATGCAGTGCAGTACTTTGAGCTAAATGCTAATGCTAGTTGTTTCACATGCAGTTGAAGTTAACACGTATGTTCACCATGTTCACCTGCGGTTTAGCATGTTACAAATCGCTAAATAACGCTAAACACAAAGAATAACTGATGACGATAGGATATTAGTTTTGCAAGTACCTCACCATAAACCGAGGTACTGGACAAGTTAAAAATTAGATTTTGATGGTGACAACCCACCTAGCCTTTCACTGAAAAACATAATCAGCTACTGTCTTGCAAAATTACCAAACTAAAAACAACAGAGTTCAGGGCCTGTGATTACAACTTTCAGCTCACTTTTTTTAATTCATTGTCACTTGACAAAAGTGATCATTCTATATCTGCAGGCTAACACACCTGAGGTTGTTGGTTGTATCTGTTCTGGCTTTTTTGTTGCTAGCTCAATTGGTCTTTGCCATTGTACAGATCATGGTGGTGATAGAAAATGGTTTGAACACAAATTGTGGCAGCGCTGCACGGAAATGTTGACCAGTTAACGACACCTCTATCTGTGGTTTCCTTCAAGACTGTTGGACAGCCAGCTAACTAAACTGCATGTGAGATAAATCGCACATCAAAACCCCATGCAGTCAAGAAACACTGAAAGCTGAGTGTAAGTATCTATATATTTCTCCCAAAGCTGCAAGATAAAATCTAACACTTAAGAACACAGATCATCTCAGAGCTTGTGGTGAACCATTTTGAGGAGGACCACTGTCTGTTCTAAACTTTGAAGGTTTTTATCGTTCATGGCGTCTGAGCAGAAGACAGACGGTGTTGTAGAGAGAAAAATATAGCCAGATGTAGGTTTTTACAGAACAGACAGTCTTTTCACTGTTCACACTGTGCACAGAGCTGGGTTAACCACATGTAGAGTTATGGGGAGGGGAGGGTGATGAAGGTGCAGCCATCTTCACATGAAAACTGAAAGTACATTAAATGCCATCATGGGCAGGATGCAGAAGAAGGCAAACGTGGCAGATGTACAACAGTTACCTGACTTTTGAAATACAAAATATTTCTGCGCATTACACCAGGAAGCTTCTTGAGGATCTATGTCTGAGGAGCATGTCTGCTTCCTATTTTAGCACCATTGGTATTTTGAACTCTTAAGCAACATCTGTGAAGTGTGTAGAAAGGAAGAGCTCAAAACAGAAGATTGCAACATGTGGAGAAATTTGCTAATAGTGTAGAGAAGAGAGGGCACATGAACTAACTGAACCAGCCCAACACATGTAAGTATTAACCATTTTCAAACATCTTTTTCTAAGAATTCTACAATTTCTTTGTCTGATTATTGAAAATCTAATATGAAACATAATTTATTCTACACTGTTGTCAGCTCTCAATATGTGATTTACCCACTGATTTGTTGTTTATGTGCATGCACAGTTATACATGCACATAAATGTGTCCAAATGCTTGTGTCCAGGGCAGTTCACAGTCAAGTTAATGGGACAACAGCCATCCCGTGGAGGAGCAGCAGGAGGAAACTGTCGCTGCTGGAGCAGTTGAAGGGCTGTCAGGAGGCCTGGTGCCCTGGGGCCCCCTGGGATAGAGAAGGGGCTCACGCTGCTATCAGTGGAACACCTGCTGGGGTGAGTTGTCCTCTTAGATACAAAAATCAATTTTGATGTTACATAACATCTGAAACTGCTTCATTTATTTTAGACAAATTCTTGAAATAGGTCTATTCACGCAAGTACATTCTTGACTTTTCCGATATTAAAAAAAAAATGGCCTTTAAGCTTAAAAATCTTTGAGATAAATTTACTAGTGAGTGGATTATAGATCTTGATCTCCAATGTGTTTGTTTTCACACACGTGGACATTTGGTTGAGTGCAAAGACTGAATTATTCTCCTTTTTGCCATAATCGTAAGCCTCCATGCAGGTTATATTTTACCAAATTGCAATGAAGTCGCAGATTTTTGATTTTGCCTGAAATATTCAGTGTTATTATGACAAGAATCCCACAACTAGATCATCACCGAAATTTAATGGGACAGTGGTCACAGTCTGTTTGTGAAAGTATATATTTCCTTTTCACTTTGTGTTTGTGTTTTTTCTCTGCTCATTTTTAAAAAGTCTTTCTATTTTTTTGTGTCTCCATTTGTCATCATCAGTCTTTCTACTTTCCTCATCTCCCTGCATGTGCCTTCCCTGATCCTCTCTTTTGCTTCCTCTCGCTGTTTCCCTCATTTGTGAGTAATCCAAGTGTGATCATCCTGTCAGCTCTTGGTTAGTTTGCTGCTAAAGTTTTCTAAAACTAAGTAACTTTGAGCTTGTAAAACAAACTTACTGTGGGGAAGCCTGTAAGCTTCACTTAAATTTTCTGTAACAACAGAAGTGTTCTTAGCTACCCTGGAAACTGACATGCACGTTTCTCTGACATGTTGCAGTAGTTCCTTTTTTTGTGTAACATCTGATAGGACAACAAACAGCAGTTTTAGGGCTCAATGCAGAAGTACAGCGGTTGCATTTGAGGGAAATGACCTTACAAAATGGATATTTCTGCTGCATGGAGAGAAAATTAGTAGAATAAATATGCATTTACGGAAGGTGACATTTGTTTTTTTGGGAGAGTGACATGCAAATAATTACCCAGAAGTGAAAACCTCTTAACTGGCAGCAATAAGTCACTGATGCGTGAGTATTTGGAGCATCTGAGCGTTTGTTTTTCTTTTTGCACATGAACTCTCAGTGGAAAGCTAAGACTTTTATAAATTAATATACAACAGAGCGCTAATGTGAAACTCTGTACGTCATGGAATTTATATTCTGACTAGTTCTGTTGATTCAAATGTTAGAAGTTCATTCGTTCATCTCTGCTCGACTGGTTCCATGAATGACTAATGGCTGCCGTTACGAATTGACAGAAATATTTATTCATATAACATCTGCGTGTCTGTGTGATCAAAGTTTGGTGACTTGCAGTAAACTCTATTTCTGTGCACACTGAGCATGAAAGCCACTTCCTCTGTGCATGTATAAATATGTGCTGGCGTGTGAGAGAAACTCTGAATTCAGTTGTAGAGCCGTTAGTTCGCTGTACCTGTGATTGCATGTGCATTGTTTTACCCAAGTAATTGTGTCTCAACAGACCTCTTTGTTCTGTTTTAGTCACTGTCTCCAAAAAAAGGCATTGATACCTATTTTGTACAGTCTCAGTCTCTCAACATCTATGCACACAAAGCAAAGTATTACTGGACTGATATGACAACTTTGGCTGTTAAAATTAATTTCTATCTTATGAATCTCTTATGCACAATAAAAAATGATATGTAATAAATACATATATCAGTGTAAAAACAGCTTCTGAAGGTTTTCAGACTGCTTAACTTTTAAAAAATGTTAAGCAACAACAATTACGCAGAGTTCAGAAACTCTGCTACTATGCTTCATCAGGGACTGTGTGAGTGTGTTTTGCTCAGATTTCATTGGCAGTGACCTGGTAGCATAAGCAAGCTAGTTACTGACTGTAACCTGACTCTGATTCAAATGTTGCTTGGCACATGGAAACACTTGACATCACCTTTTTCTAACTGAACTCTACCTGCCCTTTGATCCAGTGAAAACATCACAGACAAAACAAAAACCACAGAAATCTTTAGTGTGAAATATTTAAATTGTTCTAACTTTGGCAACAAAAAAAAAAAAAGTGTGCAGGACCTAATAATCCATAGCAAGAACATGATTAGGAAAACATTTTTAGAGCCTTTAATGTAAAATACTTTACTTCTTTCAACAGTCTGTATTTGGTAGTATAAAGGTCCCATATCTTATAAAGGTAGATTTCCATGTCTTTTTTATTATAAAGCAGGTCTAGCTTCTATATTAATACTGTGAAAGTATCAAAGCCTCAGTCCACAGAGAAATGCACACAGCCTGTATTCAGAAACTGAGCCTTAAAACGAGCCGTCAGGACTTCTGTAACTTTGTGATGTCACAACAAAGGAGTCACCACTCTCAGCCATGCCCCAAGCCCAGTCAGGAATACAGGAAGTGTAAAATATGGGACCTTTCATGATTGAGAAATCTTTGCAAATATATCACAAATTGAAATACAGATTGATAATGACTGTATGTCTTCAACGCTACAACGATGCCTTTATAATAGAGAGGCCGCCCATGAGTAACATTCAGAGACAGTTTAGCAAAACATGCAAGTACACTGTTTACCATGTTCACCATCTTAGTTTAGCATGTTAGCATGCTAACTACAGCTTAGGATGATGGAATTAGTTTTGTAAGCACTTAGTCATGAACTAAATTATTGGACAAATTAAAATGTTTATCACTAAAAAGTTGGTGCTTCAAACCATCCCATGATCAACTTTGACAGTGGGGATGCTTTTCAGTAATGTTAAACATTGCTGAGATGAACCATGAAGAAAGTCTTCTCCAGATGTTACACAACCAAATAAGGCACTTAAACTCTTCTGAAGAGACTTGAAGATTTGAAGACTTGCACAGCTTATACAGCTGCTCTCCATCCAGTCCGACAGAGTTCGAGAGCATCTGTACAGAAGACTGGAAGAAACTGATCGAATCTTAAACAGCAAAGTTCATTCTTGGCTTTGGACATCGTCAACAAAAACAATCCCAACTCACCCTCCACCTACTAGCAAGTTTTCTCCATACCTTTCAGTTGTATCACACATGTTTCATAAGAAGCTTGAACTGGGATGATGATAATGATGATGATTTTCCTGTTGTGAGAAGTTCAAAAGGACTCAGAGCTGTCAATACTGCTATTGAAAAAAGCTCTGATTGTATGGTAAAATTATTATTTTATTTTATTTTAAACACATCTGGAAAAAGAAACAGCTATAACACAACAAGATATGAGAGAGTTGAGAGGCCCTGCCACATTCCAGGTCCACACTCAAATAGTGTTAGCCATACAGTCATATCAGCCCTTTGAGTAAAAAACCCTTTACCCTTGGAAAATTACTGTTTACGTGACTTCACATCAACTTGTCATCATGACTAATTTTCAAGATCAAATCAATTTAATCTTGTTTTTTTTCCCCACACTATTTTATTTTTTTTTTTATTATCTGTATGTCCATCCACTTATTTCTCATTACTCACTGCTCCTCCTCTTGCAGTTTTGTTACCATGTAGCCCGCCACATTTAAGAGAAAACATCTACCTTCTGAACAGGCTTCCGTAACACTTGAAATGAGTCATCGTGTGTGTGTGTGTGTGTGTGTGTGTGTGTGTGTGTGTGTGTGTGTGTGTATGTCCCTCCAGAGTTTCCTGGTTCTGCGGGACTCTGTGACGTCTCAGCCCATCCTGCTGTGTGTGTCTGCTGGAGGAGAGAATGGAGCTGTTCTTGATTATAATATCGGAAACAAAGGCACAGGTATGGACCAACTGCATGCAAAAACATAGTTATTTGTGTGTGTGTGTGTGTGTGTGTGTGTGTATGTATTTGCATGCTCTAGTCTGTAAGTTCCCTATTTGTCACTTGAAGTGCTTATTTCACGACTCATTACTTCTGCTAAAACTGAACTAACTGACTAAACTGATAAACCGTTGCAGTAGCCTGCAGTGTACCTGCAGAACAAACCAGGGAAAGTCGTTACAGGTGAGGAGCAGGAAATGCTCTCACACACCCTCTAGAGCACCCACAAACTGCAAATTCTGGTTCCTGAAACTGTTAACTTCCTTTACCGGCCGATTAGATCCACGTCCAACCATGTTACATTTACTACACTGCACACTAATGTGATATATCTAAAAATCATAGGCTAAAGGGACAACAACCTGCAGTAACCCTGCTCAGCATTAGAAAATAATGGACTTCATGGCTACTGACGCTGGTGTGATAAAAACTGATGAGCTTGTCCCACTTCTTCTTCAGAAGTCGCCTCTTAGTGCTTCAAGTTTCCAGGAATGTAGTTTTTCTTCTAAGCATTTCAGAATTAGACTGATGCTGCCCACTCTCTCTGTTTCTCTCTCAGTGTTCCAGTTGAATGACTCTCGTCTTTCCTTCTCTGACTTGGCTCAGCTTGTGCTCTTCTACTCTCTGACCAGGTAAGAACCTGATGTTATCTTTTTATATTTGTTGTATGTTTAATCTTCCACTTAAACTCTTGGCTTCTCTCTGGAGCTCTAGTAAAAACAGGATGGTGAGCCAATCAGACGAGGAGGCTCATAGCATCTCTTCTGAATGGCTCACTGTGTTCTGAGTGATTGGATTAAAATATAGCAGATTTCAGGTAAAACACTCAGGGCTGACAGTGACTGCTTTGTTGTGATACCACAAAGTTACAGTCCTGACGACTCGTTTTAAGGCTCAGTTTCTGAATACAGGCCGAGTGCATTTCTCTGTGGACTGAGCGCTTTGATACTTTAACAGTATTAATAAGGAACTTAGACCTGCTTTATAATCAGAAAAGACATGGAAATCTCACATTATACAATATGGGACCTTTAAAAAATTTCGTTTTGAATTCATTTGAAAATCTAATCAGCAGTTTGTTCAATCTCAAGGTCTATGCAAATCGCATGAATCTGTTTAACAAATGTATCTTATCGCTGTCGTTTCTTCTTCTGTGTCAGGGATGTGTTAGCCGTTTGTCTGTCAATCCCTCGCTGGATCTACAGCGTAACCGACAAGAACAAAGATCGTCTGTCTCAACTTGAACCCGGTGAGTTCTTTAGTATCTGTGTCTATTTGTGTCACATCCTCTCCAAGTTGAAGTATCTCAAAACGATGCAAAGAGAGAAAGTATTTTTGAATCAGTAAACATTTTTTTTTATTTTACTGTTTAGTTTGCTTCCAGTTAACTAATGATGAATAAGCAGTTCTTTGAAATATGTACTTAAACAGAGAACTGACTTTGTTTTGTTTTTTTACACCTCTCTAATTCAGACACTTGGCTCTCACCGCCTGAGCAGCAGACTGATGAAATGACCAACAGGGAGCTAAGCAACGTCATGTGCTCCATACAGGTATGCACTGTGTGTGTGTGTGTGTGTGTGTGTGTGTGTGTGTGTGTGTGTGTGTGTGTGTGTGTGTGTGTGTGTGTGTGTGTGTGTGTGTGAGAGAGAGAAAGTACAGAGGATGGTAAGAGTATGTGCTTAAGAGCAAAACCGCTCATTTCCTTCTAAATGAGGCAATGTGTCTTAACACCTTAAAGCTGCATGAATCAATATTTTTATAGCGCACACCATTGTCTTCAGTGTTGTTTGCAGACACAGCAGGCAACTGTGCTCAGGGAAAATAAACCCAGTTTACACGGGTTGGTGAGCGCAGGGGAGCATTTAGCAGCTAAAGAGTCATACTGCTAAAGCTAATATCTGCTGGATGTGTAAATAAGCAACTGTTTGCTAACACATTCGCCACCTTTATAAGATGGTAATATGACATAAGACGAGCTAAGATAAGATAAGAGTCCTTTATTAGTCCCACAGTGGGGAAATTTGCTGTGCTACAGCAGCAAAGTGGACAGTAAAAAGAAAGGAAAACTGCAAAATGTCAATATCAAATACTTAAAAACATGATAGATAATAGATAATAATAATTTTATATGTATAATCCATCTATCCATACTGCCGTCGCGGTGGCAGCAGGCTAAGCCGGAAGGTCCAGACATCCCTCTCTCCAGCAACGCTCTCCAGCTCCCCCTGGGGATCCTGAGGTGTTCCTAGCCCATATGTACAATTAGATATTTAAATATAACAACAATAGCAGCAGATAAGTGATATTGCACAGATGGTGTGTGTGTCGCTTATTGAACATGGTGAATTGTAAGTCTTCGGTGCGTGTGGACGTATGTTATATGTTGTGTTCACACCATTAGTCAATTAATACCTCTTTAAAGCAGAGGTTAGCGATGACTTCAAGCTTCTTTCACACCTAAGCTGTGGTGTTCAGTGTGTCACACCATTCTTTTTTCTTCACTGTTTGTCTACGTGTGTGTGTGTGTGTGTGTGTGTGTTTCCTTAGCTGACTTCTACCAACGGGGCCCTGTGTATCATAAATCCCCTCTACCTTCGTGAACACGGAGATGATTGGCTGACGCACAGGGCGAGTACTACACCGTGCTCCACGCAGCCTTCGAATTACAGGCGAGAGCGACGCCTCAGCACCACTCGAACGTGGGCAGGGGCAGGGTTACAAAGTAAACGGGCCATCTCATTGGACCAGGAGCCCTCTGCTGCCTTTATGGAGAGTTCTGGTAAAGACTTTTGTGGATTCAGTATTTATTGAGAAATTTGCTGCACCCACTTTAGAGGGCCACGTCACTCAAATTTCAAAAAACATATTCCCTGAAGTGATGTTTGACCGTGCAGTTTTGGTTTTACTTTCTAAGGTTTTGACATCATGACCTTCATATACACAGGTTATGAGCTACACAGCATTTAAAAATAATATAGAAAACTCAACAGCAGTTTATGTAAAAGTTAACAAGGACAATCCACCGTGAAGATTTTTAAGGAATTGCTTAGGAAATGCTCTTATTAGCTTTCTTTCTGAGAATTAGATAAGAACATTGGAACACACACATTTCTGTCTTTGGAATCAATTAGCTTAGCTGAGCACAAAGACTGGAGGCAGGGGGAAGAGCTAACCTGGCTCTGTCCAAAGTTAAAAAATCTGCACCTCTAAAGATCACTGATTAACAAGTCGCGTTTTTTTAATCCCTTCAAAAATGAATGAAAAAAAAACAGCACATTGTGGTATGGGGATGTTAGGTTTTGGATTATTTCTTGGCCTGGGGCAGTGACAAAGTTTCCACAAAACTACAACATGACATTTTTACATTTTTGTGTGTTTGCAGATTTTTTACAGACAAGATATAATGTGTGGCCTTGTCTTTCATCAGCTGTTTCTCATTCTCTATAATGTATAAAGTGCAAGGTTCCTTTTCATAATCCATGTCTCCTTCTCCAGGTCTAACCAGAGCTAGGTCAGCCGATTCACCACATTGCCCCCCGGCCCCGTCAACGCCTGTGGCCCCAGCAGGAGTTGTCCTCAGGAGGCCCAGTCAAGATTCTGCCAGCAGGCTTCCACACAGAGCAAGTACGGGGAGCCTGCAGCCATCTCCTCCCTCCACCCCCGGAAGTTTAAATTGCGCAGCGTCCGAGCTGCAGTGCCATGGCAGCCCTGTTCCTCAGTCTCCTCACAGGGTGTCCTGGATTGAAGACGGAGTCTGGCTACCGCCACCCAGACCCTCCTCCTTGCTCCAGCCCCCGTCTCTCGAGCTTGACTCGCTGTCAATCAGCAGCATAGAGGAAGAGCAGGACTTCCAAATGCCAAGCCCCACACCCCACCACCCGTCAGCACACCGCCTGGCCGACAAGGTCATACATCGGCTCTCGGCGGTGGGCCAGGCGCTCGGCGGGCTGGTAAGTCAGAAGAAAAGACTGACCAATCGTGTGCAAGAGCTGAGCGAGCGGAGAGGTGGTGCATTTGCAGAGGCTGTGAAAGGATTCGTGGAGATGACGCTGAAGAGGGGGGCTGATCCCGACGGGGTCACAGGCTCAGAGTTCTTACAGGAAGTGAGGTCAAAACTTACATCACTGAGGGATACACTGTGGGACCTTCCAGAAATCCAGGCGTTGTTGGACAGCATTACAGATCTAAGTGACCCAGCGATAGGTGAGTGAGTTGACAGTGAAGTTTGTCAATAGACCACTGAAAATGCACATTTCAGCAGTGTTTGTTAATATAAACGACAGAGCCTCCGACTCTTCCTCACATACCTTCTGACCCCCCTTAGACTCGTTGGTGGAGCTCTCCCTCCACAAGGTGGCTCTGAAGCCCGTCTCTGCCCACCTCTACTCCTGCATCCGCACCTCCCGGACAAACGATGGCTGCTTCGAGCGTCTCCGGAGCAACCTGCGTGTGCTGGAGCAGAATGGGGTGGAGGAGCTGGGCGGGTCAGCAGGAGTTGGAATTCCTGACAGTGTCAGCCTGGAGCGGATCCAGCAGAGGTGGACTGCAATGCATGACGCCTACTCCCCGAACAAGAAGGTGCAGATCCTGCTCAAAGTCTGCAAGAGCATCTATCACAGCATGACTGCTAATGCTAGCTCAGGTAAACTGGTGTTCTTATGATTATTACTTCTCTAGCTCTAGCTATGTGTGGACTGGCACCTTGTTTGTTGATTAAATCCGCTTTAAATTCACATCCTCCTGCAGGTACAGTATTTGGAGCAGATGATTTTCTGCCCTGTCTGACATGGGTGCTGCTCCGTAGCGATGTTGTGACCTTACAGCAAGACACAGACTACATGATGGAGCTTCTGGACCCCACACAGCTACAGGGAGAGGGTAAGGCAGACACAATCACTGTTTCATGCTCAGAGAGCCCGCTGTGGTGGACAGGTTGGCCATTTTTTAAGTTTCCATGGTTCTTGGACCTGCTCACATGAACTCAGAATAACTTCAAATTTAGCCTAGTTATAACTGAAGTGTTTGTGGGGTAGAAATTTACACATCACTAAATTAGAACAGGTTGCACCACACAAACTAGTTCTCATGTAGTTTGGACTAAATATTTAAATCCAAGTGTAACTGTTGTATATCTAATGAACGAATGTTAGCTTACTAAAGTCTTTACTTGCTAAGACATTAAAGACGATGTCCAAAATCCCTCCTTTGTTCATTCATTACTCTTTATACAATGGACACTCAATAGTTTATTCAATAGTGAGCAGTAAATAATAACAATGCTACTAATTCCAAAACACACATATTTCTCTATTTATGCATGTGCTTATACTGCCTAAGTTTTAAAACAACTAAACTTAGTGATGGACACAAATAGCTGGTGCATGGAGGTGTAGGTTTGACTCATTTAGTAGATGGTTTCCTACAAATTCGACTGTCTCTCTTTGTTCATTCCCCACAACAACAGGTGGCTACTACCTAACAACTCTATACGCCGCTCTCTACTACATCAGCAGTTTCCGTCCACGGCTTGCAGCTCGTCAGCTCAGCGTGGAAGCCCAACACTCTCTTAACCAATGGCATCGCAGGCGCACACTGCACTGCAACCAGTCTCGTCGCAGCGTGCATCGACGGACCATTCGCAGGCAGATGTGTCGTGTGCAGAACTCCGAGACAGGGACTGAGAGTAAAGAGGAAAGTGGAAGAGAAAATGCTGCTGATCAGTCGCAGCTGCAGACGGAGAGCAGCACAGAGGCTCTGCAGCCACTGAGAGAGGAGACAGGGAGAGGACAAGGAGGCGAGGACCAATCACAGACATCTACTCCAGTATTAGACTGTCACCAGCAAGAGGTAATACAGGAAGACAGACAGGAAGACAGACAGACTTAATGTAGAGCAGAGGAAGAGGACCGAAGAGAATTGCAATGGATTGGGGAGGAAATGGTCTGAGATGAAAAACATGTCCTGTCCTGCTCAAACTCCTCTTGTAAAGAGGTCAAAGAAAGCTTTTGATTAGTGTTACTAACACACTGCTGTCAGTAAATTACTCCTGTTGCCTAATTCAGGGTTTGCCAAGCTGGGATAAAGATAAATCTGAAGGGTCAGAAGACGGGTCAAAAGAGAGCGATATTTCTCTCATGACCTTTCTCAAATTTTAGCTGTTTTCTTACAAAATACTGAACACTTTTATTTACCTCAGGGCCTAAAACCTTTCAAATTAAACATTCAGGGAAGCAGAAATCACTAAACTGGCCTAAACTCATCCAAATTTAATGTCATAGTTGTATTGTAAAGAAGAGAATTGTTTACACAAAAATTTAATTGATAAGCTGATACTTGAGTTATTTATATCTAATAACTGATTTCAGTTCGTTATAATCTGCTAGTCAGCAGCAATCAATCCACATTTTCCTCAGGAGTTTTGTCACACAGTTATTATTTCATTCATTAATTTGCTAAGGTGCCACATAAATTGGAATTGTTTTGTGTGCTGTTTAATTTAAATTAATATCATTGTAATGTATAAATATATTAATATAAAAATGCAAAGAGAGTAAAGTAATAAAATAAAACATTTGTTTTTGTTGTACATCTTGTTCCCGCTCTCTCTAACACCATTTCCAGCAGCTGTTTTCAGCTCGATAGCGCTGATAAACCCCAGTCTGTGCTTCTCATATATTATTACAGAGAGTGATTTATCTACGAGCTAAGACGTTGGTGGAGACCAAAAATTCTAAATCAATTAAAGCAACTTTAACTCTTCTTCCACGGTTCAAGATTGAAAATATTGCTGATGAAATATAAAGCAAAAAAGTGCTCTCAACAGCTTTACAAGGACATACTGTATATCCCCACATCAGCCTCTCAAATAATCCCCAAATACAAATGTGTGTCTTTGGGCCACAAGGGGGCAGCATTAAACCTCCTCTGAGACTTAACATTTTTATTCTCTTTGAATGATTTACAGTTTGCAGAATGTAAACAGGTTTGATTTTTAATTGATGGAATAAGGTAAGACAGAATCAATACTGGGGAAGATATTAAACAGAAAAAAAATCTGGATTACTTTATGTTCTTTTCAAAAATCCTGAGAAATCCTGAGAAACTGGTGAGATTTGTTTTTGGAGATTTCCTCTTAACACATGATACATGCAAAACAACATCACATATATTACCTTTATTACTAAAAGCACTAAAGAGCTTGAACGCTGGCTTGAACAGAGAGATGAAATTGAAGCAGTCACAGAAGTAGAAGTAGCTGTTAAACATAAGGTTAAAGCCCCAGCAGCATTACATGGAGGGGATACAGATGAAACTCTGTAAAAAGTTGAAATGACAGATGAAAATGAATTTACAAGACTTGAACAGTCACTTAGAATTGCCTCAAATCAGCACTGAAAAAATTTTGACAGCTGAACTGTAAAACATTAAAGGAGGAGACGCTGCTAGATGTAAAATCTTTAAAGGTGTTGCAGTGTTGGATGAAACAAGTAGCTGAAGTCGAAACACCTACTTTGAATGAGTTGAATGGCATGTTGATTATTTTACTTCCTTCTCCCCTTTAATATTTCAACTGCACACTTCAGCTTCTACTTCCACAACAGTTCACATTTTAACTGTTATTGCTTTATTTTCTCTCGTGTGAAAAATGCTTTATAAATAAACATTACATGGAGAGAAGATAAAACAGCAGTTGAGGGTGGACGGCAGCGTTTCAGAAGAATTTCGGCAGCAGTTGAATATTAAATTAAATAATAAGCGCTTAAAGTAGTTGAAGTGGCAGTTAAAGTTTAAGCAGTGACAGTAGAGTCAGCAGTTCACATTGAAGCACTTGTAGAACTAAACTCTTGGGTTAGCTTAGCTTAGCTTAGCTTAGGTTGACAGATGTAAGCGGATGAAGTTTGAACAAAAAAAATGAAAGGTTGAGATTAAAGCAGAAAAATGAAGCAGATGAAGTGTTAATAGGAAATGAAGTGGCGACATCTTGCCCTTTCATTAGTTTTACTTGATTACAACTTCATTTTTTTTCTTGTAATTTCCAGTATATTTTTCCCTCTCATATCGATTTTTATTCATCGATTGTGGTGATTTTTTTTTAATGATTACTAAGTAATTAACTGTCTGTAAATTCAAACATTACCCGAATAGTTAATGAATGCACATACATTGAGCATGTACACATGTAAATAGTTATACAGGGGGCCTCTTATGTAAATGTACACACAGAGCTTCATGTACACACACATATGGAACCGTCTCATCGCTGCATTCTAAATGACCGAGCCAATCAAATTTGCCTAATGAGACATCTGGCATTCTGCCTGCATGTGGATGTCAAGCCCAGAAACAGCTGGGCCTTCACACACACACACACACACACATACACACACATAGACATACACATACACACATATAAAGACACACACACACACACAAACACATTCCCTTTTTCCTCTCACACTTTATCAGTGCTGTCAGATCTGCTGTAAGACTGTGAAAGATACACAGCGCTATACGCTGGTTCACACATTTATTGGGCGCACGCACACACACACACACACACACACACACACACAAACACACACACACACACACACAGCAAAAATTTAGGAACTGTTAAGGAAGGAGTTGTGGTGCAGACTATACTGGCCAGTGAACAGTGTCACCCACTCTCTCTCCCACACACAGTTCCTTCACACATGTGATATATTATGCATACATGAGTGTGTGTAACGCTCTCACCACGGCCATAAATTAGATATATGGCGGTGGTGGCGGCAGGGGGGTGGGGGTGCAGGGGTGCACAGAGAAGGAAAGAGAAAAGGAGTGTGAGTGTGTGTTTGTGTGTGTGTTTGTGTGTGTGTTTGTGTGTGTGTGTGTGTGTGTGTGTGTGTGTGTGTGTGTGTGTGTGTGTGTGTGTGTGTGTGTGTGTGTGTGTGTGTGTGTGGGGGGGGGGCACAGATGGCTATGGCCTGAGGCATTCAAAGTACTGCAGCTAAACATGGAGACTGCAACATACACACACACACACACACACACACACACACACACACACACACAAGGAAGATTAACTGCGGGGGGGGGGAGCTGCTCACATATACAAACACTTAAACATATACTGTATAGAAGGAGGAATAGGAAACAAAGAGCCACCTGCAGCACAAACAAACACTACACACAGTATTTCTTCAGTGTTGAAGAAATCCTCTGAACATTTACAACTACTATCAGTCAGCAATCTGATTAAAAATAATAATATTCAGATTCTGGTGAAACAAAAACTCTGAAAAACTATGTAAAATACTAGAAAAATACATTTTTTGCTTAATGACCGTTGGTGTGCATCTGCAGTAATATAACTAAGTACATTTACTCAAGAAACCTTAGTGCATATTTGAGGTACTTCACTTCTTTGTGTGTCTACTGCACCACCATTCATTGTTAAATATTATACTTTTTACTCCACTACATTGAACAGGCATCGCTAGAGCAGGAAGACAGTGTTGCACAATCTGAATATGTTTTTTTCTTTTATTCAGACAGGCGATGTTTGGGCTAAAGTATGTACTTTAGTTAGGAAGTACATTCATTTCTTGTGAACAAGCTGCTGAAAACACTACGAGGATTACTATGAGCACAATATATCATTTTTTAGTATTTCGACTAGAGACGAAAAACAGTCAATATTTCAGCTCTCAGGCCAAAAATGTAGAATGTAGAAGAATCAGTGAAATACAAAACAACTCAGAAATGGCCGACTAATAATATAATAATGCAGAATTTGGATTAACATTAGCATTAAAATGACACAAGGGGGACCCCTGTAATGCTATAAATTTATTAAAAGCTTTAGTCCATGTATATACAAATAGAAAATCACAATGATATTCAGTAGTAAAAGATTTTTTTATTAGACTACTGTTTTAAAAATGATCATACACTCACATTGTGCTTCAATTGCACCAGAGATGCTCAGCACAGCTTCACTTTGAGCTCAGTATTCGTCTTAAGTCGGTTTGGATGAAATACAGAGTCTGGCTGCGTCTTTACTGTCTGGCCCTGTTTTGTCCTCATCTGCCTCTCGTCCCCTGTAATGCATATATGTGTCATTGTCTTGACTGCGGCCTTTCAGGGGCTGTCACCGTCCAACAGCTTGCCTCTGTCACGGCTCGTTCACACACCCACAATAAAACTTTCTCTCTTTCTCCGTACAACCATCCTGGAGCTTTTTTCATTCCCTCTCTCTGTCATTCAGTTCCTCTCTGCTCTTCCTCGTTTTCCCTGCTGCATTCCACCACCACCAACCCCCCTCCCCCTTTTACTCCCTCTCTCCCTCCCTTCCTCCCTCCCCTTCCCTCTCTCCCACTTGTCTGAACTCTGACAGGTGTGTAATTGAATGATTAATGACCACTAGAGTAACCCCCACTCCCACACACACACGGACACACACTTTATGTTAAAATGGAATTGTACATATTTATACACACACATATTCATGCGCTGACACACACGCACGTTTTCACATTACACACGTGCATTCATTTTGCTTCAATAGCCCAAATGGTCAAATTCAAACCGGTAGGAGTCTTGAAAAAACGGAAACATTATAAGGAATGTGGCAATACACTCAATATATATGAAAACATCCTGCACATGAGGGCCAGCACTGTACAAGCACTGCAATGCAGCTCGTGACAATCACACTGTTGTCATTTTATTAAAAATATCTCAACTTATGTGAATTTTGCAAAATTAATTTCCCTCAGAAATGTGTTATTTGCATGAATCAAAACTTCAAATTTCAGTGAAATCCTTGATTTGTGATGCTCTAAGGCGAAACCTCCTCCTTACGCTACAAGGCTTCATATTCTCTCAGTACACAAACACTGAAACACAAATACACATAAATACATTCAAGCACTTTCTCCCTTCCGTCTCCTCCTCATTTGTCAACATAAAAGCAGATTTTATGCAGTGTAATTCCCACCGTCTAATGGAGCCCGTGTTGGTGAGAGACAGGGGCAGCCAATCACAAGCCGAGGCTGTGACCATGAATTACAGTGTGTGAGTGAGGGCTGTACATTGACTTATGAATAAATATGTGTTGTTGATTTCTCTGCTTAGACTTCTCTGCCTGGTTGTGATGTTGCAGGGTTTTTATACATTTCAGGATTGTTGTTTTCAAATAGCTGGAGAGGAAAAAATTCTTCCAAAAGCGGTGATATTCATACATTATGAATGTAGTCCACGGTTGTACAATACATCAACACGTTCAGTAGATGTAGGAAGAGAGAGCACCAATATTGCATAACATTAATAAAATAGCCCAATATTTTGTGAAACTTTCTTGCTGAGAGTTAGACAAGAAGATCGATACCACTCTCATATATGTGCACAATTAATATGAAGCCACAGCTGGCAACCGGTTAGCTTAGCTTAGTTTAGCTTGGCTTACCTTAGCATAGAGACTGGAAACAAAACTGGAAACACTTCTTGCTGGGAGCAGGTGGTGGTGATGGACGCTTGACATGAGCTTTGGTCATTGTTGT